AATACTATTAGAAAATGTGTTGTTATTCATCGTGCTTATTAAATTAAAGGTGAAAAAAAAATCTCATTATTCTTTCTTGTGGGACTTCCTCAATTTACAACAAATTAATTAAAGTTAGCATAAAAGAAATACTTGTTTCAAGGTTCATCAAGAAAATAATTGCATTTGTGGGGTTATTGAAATGCGAACATCACGAAAAAAGTCTTGGTATTACCAAGATTTAATGAGATTAGTAAGATCGCAGTTGATAACCTGGAAGATGCTGATGCGGACGATGGGAGAAGACAGATATTTTATAAAGCAATTTTAATATGCTGAATTCTAAGGGAACTACTATACTTTATATAAGTAAATTGACAAAATAGCACGATAGCGTAACCTGCAAAACGTAGCGTGCGACATATCAGAAAATTGCAAATTATGTCATATGACAATAGAATTAGAAGTGTTTCTTTATATTCGCTTTTTATGACGTTGCATTTTAGGCCTTTCTGTGCTAACTTCGATTAGTTTAAAATAGCTTTCAGGCATAGATTGGTTTATTCGAACACCTATCTATGGTCCACATATTGGATGCCTCTGCATGCGCAACTGGTTGCATTTTTGTAGGAACAATTAATTGCGACTATTTCACTTGTTAGAAGCAAACCGCTATTGCCTCAACAATTTCATGTGCATTATTAATTTAAATAATATGATACATAGTCTTTCTATTGATCGGCGGAACATATTATGTAAAATTATCAATATTTTATAGCTTGCTCTGTTTATTTTTTTGGAAGTATCATGACGTCATGTTACTCACAAAAGTAAATAAAAACCAGTTTGCATTGTAGTATGGGGCGGAACAGTTATCATGGGCTTGCAGGTTATAGATGAATTGAAGCGGTCTTGCATCCTTCTCGCTTAAACCCAATATTCTATGCCATTCCAAATACACGCGAGTATAGATCGCACCCAATTGTAGTGTATATCATTCTTCTAATATCTATATTTTTCTGGAATAGGCTGTCCAAATACTTCGCACAATTCTCTGTGTTCACTTTTCCTGGTGGCTTCATTAGCACTTACAGGCCTAGAGCGCTTTTCGTCGTTATCATCATAATTGGAATACCCAAAATCGATAAAATAGACTTTCCCATCGCAATAAAGAATATTTCTCAAATTAATGTCCCCGTGTATTATCTGATTACTGTGTATTATTTCTAATTGTTCTTCAGCTTTTTTATAAGTTTCCTCGTCTAATGGACATGTGGTTTTGTCCAAATACTTTAATATGAGAAATGGACCCAAAGCGTGGTAGTGCTCGCCGATATTGAACTTACCAAAAACACATTCCTGATCAATGTAGATGCTGTTAAACTTGAGATTAGCTATTAGCTTTTCATAAGCTGTCTTCTCACACAGATATGCTCTTCTGCATTTGCCGAAAATAGCAGTTTTACTGATTGTGTAACTATCATGGTCTCTCTTCGCTTTGATTGGGTCAAATACCTTAACAATAAATTGATCGACCACATCGACATCTTCTTTTAGATATCCTATTACATCTTTAGTACTCACTTTGAAAAGTTGAGAATTGAAAGTAAACCCACTTTGCACATCAATAGCTGCAAACTCTCCAAGACTAATACTTGTATCAGAAAGGTAAAGCCGTTGCTCTTTAGCCCTATAAGCATCGATACAGAAATTTCTATAAGCTGCTTCATATTTGTCGGCTAGTCCATCAATATAAGTCAAGTACTCTTCGTCTGTCTTACGAATATACTTATAGATCTTATCTAATCCCCTCTTAATCTCATTTAATCGAGTTCCATTGGTGTTGAATGCCTCATAGATAAATGAAATGAGTCCACCCCTCAAGGTAAGTCCAGACGAGGGACAATCCAAGATTTTATAATTGAGAGCTATGGGTTTGCCAGCATCCAGAAGCTCTGTACTATGCTTGATTACCTCCAAACTCCTCTCGATATCTATTTCAACCAATATTGTTGTATAAGAGTCTGTTAGCATACCTTTGTTAGTGTGGTTAGAAAACATTTCCGCCACAACTTGAACGAAGAATCTAACCATTTTTGAATCATTAAAGCTTACCACTTTGTTTCCCTTCAAAAGTGGTAATTTTTTGACCTCCACAATAGCTAATGATCGGCAATGTATTTTCTCCGTATAAGCTACAATATCCGGATGAGAATAAAATAAATCATTTGTTGTGTGAGGCACTCTAGTTTGCACTCCTGTCTGACCGTCTGTATTTCTCTCTTCAACTTCTATTTCAAAGCCGAATAAAGCTGAAACATAATCACTTATGGGTTTAAACAAATAGATCAGAAAATTATCTCTGTAAGTTGCTTCTGCCTTTGACCCAATATGCTTAACAAGCTTATAGTCCTGTTTAAAGCAAACTCCAAGCAACTTTGTAATAACTCTTTTTCTTTGATATTCGCTAAAAGCATTAGAGAATAGGTCAATTCTCAAAATACACTGCAAATTAGCTGCAAGCCTGTCATTTGGAAGTTCTTGGTTCAGCGATTCAAATTCTATATCTGAAAAAGTCCCAATTAGAAGGTTGTCAGTAGCCTCACTCGGACAAGCAATATGAAGAGTATCGGGGTTCAACAAATTTCCATCTTTGCCTTGGAACTCGTACTCCGTGAATGGCATAACACAAAAGAAAATAAATAATTCTTTCCATTTATCTGGATGATCTTTATAATGCAACCTCACATGATCCATATCTAAGTCGAATACATTCTCAATTTCAAACATTTTGCGTAAAATTTCTTGATAGCTTACATTCTGAATCGCCCTATTATCGAATATTTTTCTGTAGTCGAATTTCGTAATCTCAAATTTAGCGATATCTATGTCAATATCCATACCAGTATCCTCATCATCTCCTAAAATATATCTCCTAATATTATTACGAAAAGTATTGTTGTTCATAGTAATTAATTGCGATGAATAAAAAATTCGGTATTTTTTTTTTGATTCTTGTGAGACTCCATCAATTTATAGGAAATCGAATAAAATTAGCATAAAAGAAATATTTGTTTCAGATTTTCATTGAAGGAAGTATTGTAATTTTGTGGGGTTTTCGAAATGCGAACATCACGAAAAAATTTGATAATGCCAAGATTAATGAGTTTAAGTAATACCGCAGATGATAAGCAGGAAGATATTGAAGTAATGGAAGATAAAAGAAGATAGATAATTGAATAAGTGATTTCGATAAGCATTTTAAGGGGGAGGGCTGCCCTATTTATATATTCATAAATTGATGAAATGGATGACGGTAGCACACTGTGTAACCTGCAATCCTACAGTGCGAATGTTTACCACTTTTGCATTGAAAGTCACAATTTGCAAGTTGTGGTATTGCCTAACAGAATAATATCAAATTTATCAATGTCATTATCAGTATCCTCATCCTTTCCCAAAATATATCTCCTAACATTATTAGTAAAAAGTATCATTATTCATTATAAATAGTTGAATTAAACAAAAATCTCGTTATCCTTTCTTGTGGGGCTTCTCAATATATAGAAAATTAAATGAAGTTAGCATAAAACAATACTTGTTTCACCTTCCATTGGGGTTCTTATAAATTGTAAACATTACTAAGATTTACTACAATGTTAACGAGCTCACTAATATTGCAAATAACGTAGAGGAGACAGCGACATAGTGGTGGAGGTAGACTTAATTGAAGATAGAAAACAGGTAGTTGTGTCCATCATGTTAAATTCTGTTATATAACTTCGTCTAAGCATGACAATACCACTCGGTGTAACCTGCAAATATTAGCAACTACCATCTCATTTACGAAGCGAACACAAAACGAAACTTCTGTTAAGACGAGCAGACATTTATTAATGAATTTCAAAATTACATAAGCAATATCAAGGAAGGGTAACCCTGTTCGAAGATTAAAGGGATAACAGTAAACTCCATATTCAATATCTATAACATAATGCCGTGTATGTACTTTTCTGGGATAGATAGTGATTCTATCACTATCGATGATCCTAGCAACGACTGCATTAGGGTAAACCTTGATCTATTTATTAGAGTTCTCAATAACTATGAACAAAACACAAGGGTCTTTTTGGACACTCACTTGTTAAGGATTCGAGGTAATGAAGATGGGCATGAAGATCGTACAGAGAAACTAGTGTCTAAGGGTAATGCATCTGTGGGTCTAGGGAATAGGCCTTCTATACCTATTGCTGTGTATACCAGCCGTGCATTGATTACTGGTGAATTTAGGGAGATGAGTAGTGATGATTTCAAGGATAGGTATCTTACTCCGCTTGATAGTGCTATTAGAGACTCGTGTATTAGGAGTCGGCTTTTAGAAGCAGACTATCGTTACCCACTGGGATATTCAATGCATGTGGAACACTACGTTCAAGAATACTTTAATGGAAGAATAGCTGGTCCACTTAATGATCTTTTTCAGGACGTTGGTGATACAGACAACTATTTTGGCAGTCCACCTATTATAAGACCCCCATTGGATCAACGAAGAACAATGCAACCTGATATTATTCATATGATAAATAGATCGGATTCAGGTGTACAATCTCCCGAAATTGTATTTGGGATAGGTGATTACAAAACGGCAGTCTATAAGATGACAGAAGGATTTGAAGAATTGAAGGCAGCTATAGAAAGTCAAATCGAAAATTTGCTGAACCGAAGAAGATTGAGGCTGCAATCCAATGGGAACTTTTTTCCAGATCGGGAGTGGACGCCTAGGGTATTATTTGCTTTGGTTNTAAGNAANTATATATACCAAGCTTTCCTCTGTGGAACCGACAGGATTTTTATTTCAGATCATCAAACATTCTCAGGGTTCTTTCAATATGAAATTGTGGATGACAGGATGTCTATAGACTACTATGTCATTAATGATCCAGAAACTGTGGAGCATGGCATTACTTTGAGGTCAGCAATAGCCGGATTTTTCTATAAAAGTGTTGCTGATGCAGCTGATACAAAGGCCAGGTTGATGGAAAATTTTAGTGTTGCCAGAAGCACCGAAATAAAACATTTTAAAGAACTGGATCCATTCTTTAACGTTCGTCCTAGAGATCCTTCTGGATCTTCGAAAGAATTGGCTGGACATGGATTTTCAGGCAGCTTAGACCCGGTAAAAGAAAACGACGACAGTGATAACTTTGATGCCATTGATGGCAACACATATGGCCGAGTTATATACGATTCTGCAGAATTTTATCCTGATTTGAAACTTCCATCGCCAGTTTTTGTCAAATTATACTACTACTCTAGTCGTTTGTGGGAAAAGAATAGTTTTATGTATTTGGAGATACCGGAAAAAGAAGGGTACTATGATATGTTTTTCAATGAGCTTTTAATTAATGAAAGAATTGCTAAGTCAGAATTCGCCTCCAATTTTCCAAAGCTCCTTGTCTCAGGTTACTGGAACGGGCTTTCTGATCATCCGATGCATATATTTGAATACCTAGGGAAGGAGGTCCCAGAAGAAAAGTGGAATAACAAAGAAGTGTACAAAGTTATCAAGTCAAGACTCGAAGAGCTTCATCTGATAGGAAT